AAAAAAAAAAAAAAAATAGACGTTGGGACTTTGTCATCAGTATCTGGGAGGTAATCACTAGGATCTTGAAGGGTCACGCCTGAGGAGAGTCTCTTTGTTTGCTTGGGGGCAAACTTTGGGTAACTGTTGATACTGAAACAATGTAATTTAGGATTGTGACTAGCCACAGCTCTGAGAGATGGGAAATGGCAGGTGGTATTCCCTATGTTAGAAAAAATAACAAGGGAATTTAATGAGGGGCTTTAGGTCACAGGGAACCAGTGGACCAAGAGACTAAATAACCACACAGGAGTCAACCAACCAATTAAGGCTATGTAACAGAACCCCAGTAATTACTCTGGATCCCAGCACTCAGTTGAGTTTCCCTGATTGGTAGTTCCCTGTGTCTAAGTCATATGCTAATCTTGGGTATGTAACATGCCCCACTCTACTGGGAGAATACAATAGGAGATCCACATTTGGTACTTCACTGGACTCTGTCTTATTTGTTTTTTTCCTTGGTTAACTATAATATGCATCTTTTCCCTGTAAAAATCAGTAACTGTGAGAATAAATGCATCCAGTGAGTTCTGAGAGTCTTTCTAGGAAATTATTGAATGTGAAGGTAGTTTTGAGAAACTCCCGAATTTGCACTTGGAATGAAATGAAAGCAGTCCTCTGTAAAATGTCCCACTAAACTTTTTAGTTTAACCCTTGATGATACTAAACATCAAACACCTTAGAGTGTTTATATCTACAAATTGAAAGTATTTCTGTACAAGAATTTTGCATAACACATATAAAATACTTAATCTTATTTTTCTGTTTTGATATAGACAGTAACTTGGTTATCTGAAAGAGTACAAGGGACAACTGCAGTTCTGAGGGGAATCCGAAAGGCTGTCCTTTCAGGGGTTCACAAAGGGGGATGCTTCTGATCAAACAATCAAAGATGTGAAGAATCATTTGGAATGAAAAGAAAGCCTATGATGTAGATAAATATCAATATAACTTTTATATTCAAGACTACAAATCAGCAAGCTGAAATAAAGTTAAACCTGCGATAGACATTTACAAAAAGGAACCAGAATGAAAATTATCACAGCATGGACTCAAGCAGGAAAGGCGTTGTTACATGAAATGTCAGCTAAAGTCACTCATATACATCTACATGCATGAAAACTGTCCGGGTGAAAACTAAAAAGGTGTTTCTTACTACGGTTCATGCTCATAAAATGTTCAAAACTTTGTCAGAATATTACCAAGTCCTGAATTAGGTAAATTTTTCTGATGGAGAGTTAAGTTCCAAAGGTGGAATCTTGGAATATATTAATAGGTAAGTGGGTGGGTACCTATTGGTATACAGTGGTGATACAGAAGGGCTAGGCTCCCAGCCAAACCCCACCCTGGAACCTTGGCCCTAAATGAAAACAGATGACCCCGTTTTTCCGCCCAAATGTTGCTTTTTTTGGCCTGCCCTGCCACTATCCTGTGCCCATAAAATATTTTAGCTGGCAGAGCAACACAAGCAGCTCAGCGGCATGGGTACAAGTGGTTGAGTGGCAAGCAGAGAAGCAACTGAGTGTCAGAAACTATGGATGGATGTGGCTAAACTCAGATGGTGTGGCTTCAGAGGGGGCTCAGCTAGAGATGGCTGGGTTTCAAGAACAGATCACTTTCCCATCCCCTTTCTAGCCTCCTTTTCTGCTAACAGCCAACCACCACTCAATAAAGTCTTCTGCATTCATCACCTTTCATACAGTTGGTGTGACCTGATTCTTCCTGGATGTGGGACAAGAACCCAGGTGCCAAGAGGGCAGGGGCTGCTACCCTGATGCTCCACTGAGCTGGTTGGCACTTCCCCAGACAGCAGAGCTGAAAGAGTACTGGTGGTGTAACATGCTTGGACACTGCTGTGGGCCCGCACAGAGCCTGCTCCTACCAGACAGGAGCAACCAGCCAATTCCAGCATTCATTTGCTCCAGTTCCTGCACTCACTCGCTTGCACACTGCCTCCCTGCAAGGAGTGGGCTGAGTGAAACAAACCCTCCAGTTCCCACCCACAAAGAGAGTCAAGGGGACAATCAGGTCTCATCTGTAAATGGATATATTTAATACACCATGACTCATAAATAAGAGGTCTTTCAGGATAAGGGAAGGTCTCTCAGGATGTTTCTATTTTGAGAAAGTAATTCCCCAATTCCTTCCAGGTCATGAAGCTTACCAATTCAAAATATAGCATTAAATCTATAAAAATAAAGAAAAAGTCTGTAAAATCTGTGTCCTTTAACTTTTTGACAACTAAATTTGTATAATGTAAAGATGAGGGAAATACACACATTTTTGAAGAAAGATGATCAGAAACAGAGTCAACATTCAGCTATATAACTTGTGTCTTCTCATCCTCATTCTTCCCCTCTAAGGGAAGGAAGGAGGAAACTGGGTGCAGTGAAGTGCATGCAGACTTTGGAAAAGCAAATGGGCTGTGGATGGGTAAATCTCTCAAAGGAAAGCTAGCTGGAAATCCTCATTCAAAAAGACTTTTTTTCCCAGATGTAAATATGCTCCCTATGGAAAGCTCCAGGGTAGGTCTCAGGGAAGGCATATTTACTCAGTGTGGTCATGAAAAACAAAATACTATGTTTAGAAGTTTCCACAGGACATGGGTCAACTGCACACACATAAAACCAATCATGTCTGTGTGAAAAATCATGATACATACTATACAATCTCAGTCCCATAAAATTAGATGTTGTGCCTACAGACACACAGGACCTAGAAGAATGTGTCAAACTATAAACTGCTTGTGATTGTGACTTTGCTCTTTGCTTCTTGTGTTTTTCAGTTTCCTCTAATGTACTTAACTTTTTAAAAGTAAAGGTTATTTTAAAAACAAAAAACAAAACAAAACAAAACAAAAAACCAATCATGTCAAGGAAACCTAAGAAAAAACTTGAAAATGGATAAGCAGCCATCTGCAGACAAAAAAAAACAACAATTGTTCTGCAATATATAACCAGCCCTCCATATCAATGGGTTTGGCATCCATGGATTCAACCAACAATGCATAACAAATTATTTGGGGAAAAAAATCCAGTTCCAAATAGCAAAACTGGAATTTCTTACATGCTGAGTCCTATGCTGATTCCTTGTGAATGAAGTGATAGGTAGGCATTGCATTTGGTGTTATAACTGTCCAGACATGATTTAAAGTATATGGGAGGATATATATAGGTTCTAGGCAAATACTTCACATATATAAACTTGAGTATCTCTGACTTATCCATGTGGGGTCCTGAAATCAAATCCCTATGGCTTCCAACAGACAAATATATACAGATCCTTCCATGTACCAGGACTATCCTAGGAGCTGAAGATGCAGTCATAAACAAACAAACACCATATAGAGATTATATTTGAAAGGGAAGAGGTGATCTACCAGTAAACAAAAGCATATGACATACAATACATGCAGGCCAAGTAAAGATAAGATGGTATATTCAATAGGGTGCTTGAAGATGACCTCTCCCATGATATTAAAACTCAGCAGAGACTTGCATAAACTAACGAAGGGGGTCAGTAAGTTTTGTGGGGACAGAGGATTCCAAACAGAGAGAAAAGCAAGTGAGGGCTCTGAGGCATAATCTTCTGTAGTAGGGAAATAATGATTCCTGAAGGATGTCCACATCCGATCTTCAGGACCCATGAACCTGATACATTACACAGCAAGGCAGATTAAGGCTGCACGTATCATTGAGGTCACTAGTCAGCTAAGCAGAAAGTAGGAAAATCAACTTAGATCATGCAAGAGATGAATACAATCACAAGGGACCTGAAAAGTGGAAGACAGAGGCATAAGAAGAGTGGCAGAGGGAGCATGACTGTGAAAGATGGTCAAGGATGCACTACAGCTGCCTTCAAAGATGGAGAAATGGAAACTAGAGCCAAGGAGTGCGGACAGTGTCTACGAACTGGTAAAACAAAGTGAAGTCTTCTTCCCAAGAACAGCCAGAAAGGAACAAAGACCTAAGACAGCTTGATTTTTGCCCAGTGAGATGTGTCAGACTTCAAGCCTAGAGAACAGAGAAACAATAAATACTTCTTGTTTAATCGGCTAAATTTGTGGCCATTCGGTACCAGCAACAGGTGATACAGTGTCCTTGGCAGGATGGAGAAACAAGAGGGATTACAATGTGGCCAGAAAAGATGGAGAAAGAGGGAGAGTATGAGAGGTGTAGTCAAGAGGCAGTGAAGAATGAAGAGGAGACCAAAGGGGTTTCTAAAATCCACTTGAAGACATTGTAACTTTTATAAAAATTAAGAAGACAGAAAGGCTCTTAAGCTGAGGAATGGCAATCTGACTTCCACGTCCTAAGGATCACTTTAGCCACCATGAGGAGAACAGATGCCAGGGTGGGAAAGCACGAAGCAGGGCCACCAGCTGGAAGGAGGTTGCAACAATCCAGGAAAGATGTTTGCCATGTAGAACAAGGTAACGGAGTTGAACATGCACAGAAGTAAAACAGATGGAAGTCACAAACAAAAACACACAGTTGCTTGTTTCTTACCTGAACTCCCTTCTCTTTGGGTTGCTATATCCATCATCCAAAACTTTTCCTCCCTTAGAAAGTAGAAAGTATCTCGGTTGAATGGTTGATGCCTTGTGAACAGGCAGTTATGTGCTTAATCCCAACATATTCTAGGTAATATTGGGGTAACATTTACTGGAAATTTAGGTTCCCACTGCACACTCAAACTGGGAACACCCTAGGATACAAAGCCACTCCTGGGGCCTGACATTCCCTTATAGAAAATGCCTGTTCTCACCCACTGAGAGCAGGTTCCTGAAGTTCTCCAGCATCACATCTTGGTACAGCCTCCTCTGGACAGGGTCCAGCAGCCCCAGCTCCTCCTCAGTGAAGACAACAGCCACATCCTTGAAGGTCACTGCCTCCTACAGCATCAAATATATGCAACCTCAATGTCATGACCAATGGTTACTGGGAGAGAAGCAACATTGAGCAGGCCAAGGGGAAAAATTGAAAGTTTTTCTGGATCTTCAGAGATGTAGGACAACTTAGAGAATTTCCATTCATTCTGTCCTGTGTCCTGACAATGATACACCTTGATTGTCCCAAGCATCATCAGAAGTCCAATGATGAAGAAGTCCTGTGTTCTTATTAGTGCACTCATTGAGTGTACTTGTATGTAGCCCCCTAGAAGTCTAAATGCTGCATCCTGGGTGACACCTATATAGATTTCAATGAACCTTGCTAACTGTCCCAGCAACAGTGAGGAATTCAGTCAGTATCTGCCTTGCCTGGCAGCTGGCCGATGAGGCTGTGCCTGTGAAACCCCAGTTTCAGTACTCCCAATAATTACTTTTCCTTCTCCCCTTTACAGTGCACATCCTGTTGCTGGTTTGTGGCTCAGATCACTGCAGTAACTGACAAAGGTCCTCCTGACTGTAATCTGGAGGAGATGCTTCCCTGAACATCCCCTGACTTCTATGGGATCCCACAGTGGTGAAGAATGAGACAATGGAATACCGTAGGGGGTGTCAGAGCCCTTTGGTGGTGCTGGGGACACCTGATCCTTCCATGTGGGTGGTTGGCACTAGCAGGAATATCTTTTCATACAGAACATGACCTCCCTTCCTGACTGAACAACAATGCAGGAAGGTCTGGGCCAAACAACCAGAAGAATGGATGTCTGTAGTAGTAGCAGTCTCAGAACAGGGACAGACAGACTGGGTCGCTGCACCACCTCAGCCCACCCCCTATCCAATAGCTACCAATCTGCTGTTCCCCCAGGGATGTGGCAGCAGAGGCCTGGGAGCACAGCACATTCCTTAAGTAATCTCAAGCTGCAGACACCTCATGTCACTAAGCTAAGTGTTCCATCTGCTACCCTGGATTTGTCCGGTCAGCACCCACAGTGACCCTGACCCTCTTGTCCTAACCACAGTAAACCACACCAGTATCCCTCACACCACAATGCACACCAACAGCTCCAAAGCCCTGGCTTGTCAAGTCAGGACCTGGCACCTGCCACATAAGAGAGAGCTGGAGGGCCCTGTGGTGACTGGTGCAAGGCAGCAGAATCACACAACCTCAACAAGGCAACAGTGGACTGTGCTTTCTTGCACGATGTTCCTTTGACTACCGGGATGAGAAATGTTTCACATAATGAAAACCAGGACTAGATGAGTGATATTCCTCTCTGTAAGGGCTGCATGAACATCATACGGAGGAACTGAGCTTATGCAACCATGCCAAAAATGAGATCTCGCTGGCAAAAGATAATGTACCCATTCCCACGAATGGGTCACAGAAGGGCCAAACAAGGGAATGGGTGCTGTGTGCACCTGAGCCTTATGGCTTTCTCTGTGGCTGGTCTGAAGGGTGACCCAAATACAGGGTGGGCGATGTCATGCCTGGAAAGCTGGCAGACTGTTAGATCCTGAACACTGGGCATGCTGGGGGTACCCATAGATGTCACCCCGGGAGCGAGATGTACCACTGGACAAGAAGGCTAAAGCTGTGCCCCAGGCTGACTGGGGGACCTGCCTGAAGGTGTAGCTAGCTTGAGGTTTATGTCCTACTCCTATGAGTCAATTCCCATAAAAAATGATGAGACACCTGTTACAGACAATGGCCAATACTGCTTCCTCTATGGCCACTGCCTTGGGAGCCCAGCAACATCCCTTCACTCCCTTAGGAAGGTTGAAAAAACACAAGTGTTCTGTGCTTTTAGTCCTACTGGGAGTAGTGGATCTGTGACTGCCTGTGACTGTCAACATCTCCAGCCTTCTCTGGATAAACAGCTATTATAAAAACACAATGAGCCGGGCGCGGTGGCTCAAGCCTGTAATCCCAGCACTTTGGGAGGCCGAGGCGGGTGGATCACGAGGTCAAGAGATCGAGACCATCCTGGTCAACATGGTGAAACCCTGTCTCTACTACAAATACAAAAATTCAGCTGGGCATGGTGGCGTGTGCCTGTAATCCCAGCTACTCAGGAGGCTGAGGCAGGAGAATTGCCCGAACCCAGGAGACGGAGGTTGCGGTGAGCCGAGATCACGCCATTGCACTCCAGCCTGGGTAACAAGAGCTAAACTCCGTCTCAAAAAAAAAAAACACAATGAGAGGCAAACCAGAACAAGGCCTACTAACTTCAGACACTGGGGGCCACCTGAATGATTCTTCTTTGATATCTTTAGCAGCTTCTTATGGGTCTTAGGGACCCAGGCAGGATCATGGCTTCAGGAAGGTCTGGCTGTGCTGCTTGTAATCATGCTCCTCTGGGGTCCACTGAATGTATTCCAGCTGTAATTCTATGAAGTCGACAGAGACTGTGTCGGTCAAGGTGCTATGCTGATCTAACAAGATCGATCAACACCTCCAGACCTAAGGAGGTTGACGGGCATATGAAATGGAGTAGTTTGCTAAGGGGGACATCTGGGTCAGGGATGGACTGCAGGACAGTTGGGGTGCAGACCCCACCCAGTTCTCTCCCCTTTCTTGCTTGTACTTCTCAAGAATAACTGTAGATTATTCTAGGAATGCAATATTATGGGGAGGAACTGCCTTTGACAGCCTGGGCTTTGTTTCTCTCTCCCCTGAAGCAGGATGTCCTTCAAGTTTTTTCCACGAGTCATGGCACCCTGAAGTATATACACAGGGGCAGGTTACCTTCTGGGGTGCCTCAGTTCAAGTGGGGTACATACAGTCAAGATTCCATCTGCTCCAGGTAGCTTTCTTGAGCCCTGGATGGCTGGCTCACAGTGGACCCTAGGATTCTGGACTCCCTTGCTGCCAACCTGTAGTGATAAATTTGCTTCATGTAATCTGTTGCACGTGAGTGTGCTCTGTCCCACAGGACTCACATGAGCTGGTAATCAGTGCACAGTGAACCTGCTTCATGGTACCCTGTGTGAGACAGCTATGCAGTGTGTCTTGTGTACTCACAAGGCACAAACCATATGTGTCAACTGCAGCATTTAGTGTCCTGACCAGAAGCCAGAATGCCTCAGTGCACATCCTAAGAGTCTGCCCACTTCTAACCATGTGACCTCAGAATGTTTGCCTACGAGTCTTGTTCCCTCTCTGAATAATGGTTCTTACATGACAGAGTTTTTTCAAGAATTAAACAAGGAAATACACAATATTTTGATAAGTCTATGGCACAGACTAAGTGTTTAATGAACATTGGCTGGTATTACTTATTACTGTTATTACCATTATCTATTTCACGGCTGCGTGAAATAATCAGTATTCCAGGGAACTGATTATCTATTTTTAGCTACATTAAATAATTAATATTTAATTTTATATATTTCTTATTATCAATCTTACAAAGATGATATAGTAAGTAGTAAGCTGTAAGAACATCTGACTCTCCTCTATCATTTAAAATAATTTCATATGAAAATTAAAACATGGGCCGGGCGTGGTGGCTCAAGCCTGTAATCCTAGCACTTTGGGAGGCCGAGGCGGGTGGATCACGGGGTCAAGAGATCGAGACCATCCTGGTCAACATGGTGAAACCCCGTCTCTACTAAAAATACAAAAAATTAGCTGGGCATGGTGGCGTGTGCCTGTAATCCCAGCTACTCAGGAGGCTGAGGCAGGAGAATTGCCTGAACCCAGGAGGCGGAGGTTGCGGTGAGCCGAGATTGCGCCATTGCACTCCAGCCTGGGTAACATGAGTGAAACTCCATCTCAAAAAAAAAACATGAAAATTAAAACATGTAAAATAAGCACATTTAATATTATAATCATAGAATTGAACACTTTCTTCTTAGTTTTTTCCCTACTTCTTTAATCTTTCAACAGAATACGAATATCCTAATTCTTCTTATGATGCCAAGAGTAGGTTATAAATATTCCCATGGTTTTGGTAATCTGATTAGGAAGAACAATTCAGTCTATTATTCTCACTTATTATAAATGAATGTCATCACTTTTCAAGGTTATTGGCCATCTCTATTTCTTCTTTTACAATTGCCATTTAGTGTTCTTTGTTCCAATCTGTTTGAACTTTTTTCTTTATCCTGTAGAAGCATCTTATTCTTCCTTAACTATCCAAGGGGTAAATATTTTTGCCCAGGTTGTCATTTTTTTCTGGTAACAGTGTATGAGGCATCTTGTGCCATAAGGAGGAATTTAAAGATTTTTAAGAACAGCTATGGTAATCACTGTCCTTGGGTACTTGGAGCAATGAGTACACCCGAGTAGGTGCCAGGTCTGGAAAAGAAGAGGTCACACCAATGCAGGACAGGGAGGAGCAGAGCAGCCTGTGGATTTCATCACTCAAGAAAGGACTCCAGACACCCACACAACAGGGCACAGGGCCCTCAATGAAAAATTCTTTCTTCTTCTCGCCTCTCTCTTTCGCTTGAGAAGAATGGCTAACATTCCTGATCCTTGATTGCCTCTATGATTTTGAGTAGGTTTCTCATATTTCATGAGTTTAGAAGAAGAATAGACCAGAAACCTCTTCATTCTGCTGCTCTAAGAAGTAAATAAGTGACAGTACACAAGTAACTGGCCAATTTTCAGTATTATTAGACATTTTAAATGAAGGCTTTCTGGCCAGGCACGGTGGCTCATGCCTGTAATCCCAGCACTTTGGGAAGCCGAGGTAGGCAGATTACTTGAGGTCAGAAGTTCGAGACCAGCCTGGCCCCTATGATGAAACCTCATCTCTACTAATAATACAAAAATCAGCCAGAGGACAAGAGATCGTCAACGTCCTGTTGTTCTCTTGAGTACTCCCAGGGCAGAGAAAAACACATGACAATCTGAGAAGTGAGATGGAATTTTAACTGTAAGAGAGGCAAACCCTACTCACCTTGGATGTGGTCATTTTTCCTCCTACTTCAGGGAATTTGCAGAGTCCTGAATGATGCAGTTCGAGAGAAAGCAGAATTGTGCCTGGAAAGTGCCATGGAAGACAGAAAAAGACATGAAAGGGTGCTTGGGGATGCCACCCACCAAGAAGGACTCATATTGTCAAGTAGCACATGAATGCTCACAGAGCATTATTCATACTAACCCCAAACTGCACACAACCAAGAAGCTCTCCTACAAGTAAATGGATAGAAAAATTGTGGCATATTCATACAATGGAATCTTACTTGGAAACATAAAGGAATGAAATACTAGGCCGGGCGCGGTGGCTCAAGCCTGTAATCCCAGCACTTTGGGAGGCCGAGGCGGGTGGATCACGATGTCAAGAGATCGAGACCATCCTGGTCAACATGGTGAAACCCCGTCTCTACTAAAACTACAAAAAATTAGCTGGGCATGGTGGCGCGTGCCTGTAGTCCCAGCTACTCAGGAGGCTGAGGCAGGAGAATTGCCTGAACCCAGGAGGCGGAGGTTGCGGTGAGCCGAGATCGCGCCATTGCACTCCAGCCTGGGTAACAAGAGCGAAACTCCGTCACAAAAAAAAAAAAAAAAAGGAATGAAATACTGACCCATGCTACAACACCCATGAACCTTGAAAACATTACAGTAAGTTAAAGAAGCAAGTCACAAGAACCCACAGACCCTATGATTCCTTCTATATGGAATGTCTGGAGTAGACAAATATATAAAGAAAGTAGGTTAATAGTGGCTCTAAATTTGACGTGAGAATGAGGTTTAACATAAATAGCCATGAGGAATCCAACTGGGGGATGAAAATGATCTCAACTGAATTATGATGATGATTTCTCCACTTTGAAGTTCCTAAAGACTACTGAATTGTACACCTGAAATGGGTAAATGCTATGATAACTAAAAGCTGGAGTTGATAAAATAATAACTGTTAATGCGCATATCATTAAAATCAATAAAACTGGATTCTGGGTCCATATTGGTAGAATATCTATAGTTGAACAAATGTATGAACCAACAGAGGAGAAATGAAAGCTCTCCTTTGTAAGAAAATGCCCACTAATAATGTATTTCCCCATGAGAAACCTCATAATTAAAAAAAAAAAAAGGTAACATAAGAGTGGACAAATCTGAAAGACATCTTCTTGGCCAAGTGACAAAGCTGAGATCACCAATGAAGGGACAAATGGACATCACTTGGACCTTGTTATGTTACAACGAGAAGGGCATCTCATCGCGCCATTGCGCTCCAGCCTGGGTGAAAGAGTGAAACTCTGTCTCAAAAAAACAAAAAAAAGGAAAAGAAAAGGGCATCTCCGCACTTCTGTTGAATCCCCACCAACAATGCATAATCTGAACCTAAATGTGAAATATATCAAATTCCAAATGAACACCTACGGAAATGTGACAGCTAAAGACAATGCATGAACTGGACTTTGAATGGGGTTGCAGGTGAAGGGGGGGCAGGGGACAGTCATAAGGACTTTAAATGAAAAATTAAATTCATATATGAACTTCAAATTAGATAACATGATGCTAGGTAATATCGTATCCAACACTATCTAATAAGTACACTACAAGTGCTAGTATTATTGTAACACATATAACTGATATGTAATCAGTGACAACATTATTTATTCTTTTTTTTTTTTTTTTTTTTGAGACGGAGTTTTGCTCTTGTTATCCAGGCTGGAGTGCAATGGCGCGATCTCAGCTTACCGCAACCTCCGCCTCCTGGGTTCAGGCAATTCTCCTGCCCCAGCCTCCTGAGTAGCTGGGATTACAGGCACGCGCCACCATGCCCAGCTAATTTTTTGTATTTTTAGTAGAGACGGGGTTTCACCATGTTGACCAGGATGGTCTCGATCTCTTGACCTCGTGATCCACCCGCCTCGGCCTCCCAAAATGCTGGGATTACAGGCTTGAGCCACCGCGCCCGGCTGACAACATTATTTAATATAATATTCAATATTATTTAGCATGTTATGTAAAACCCTATAACCAGCCCTTCCTAAATGCCTCTTACCAAGATACTACACAATCACCCTGGTATTTGGGCTTCCTTGCTGCAGAAACCTACAATCAGCTGTCTCTGGTTACAGGTATGTTCCCGGTAGTATTTGGTTGATGGTCATCAGGAAGCAAACAGAAAGAATGTAAACACTTGGCAAATTTGGGTAAAAAGTATATGAGAATCTCTTATACTGTTTTGGCAATTTTTCTATAGCTTTGAAATGGTATCAAACGTTTTAAAATATCAGGAAACAAGAGACCGCCACTCACCAAGTGACAGGGACTACTTTAAGGCTTTCATTTGTATTATCTCTTTCAATTCGCAAAACAATTATATTAGGATGATCCTATAATCACCATTTTAAAGACCAGCAATGGGAAGTACAGGGACTTTACGTAACATTCCACGTCACACTGCGAGAAACAGGCCGCACACCTAGGGAGGCGGACTGAACGAGGTCAAAGTCCTGGAAATGCTCAGAGCAGGGCACACAGGGCCCCGCCAATCCCACCCACCGGGACGCGAGCACCGCCCCCCGACGCCAGAGGGCCCTGACGACTGGAACAATAAACACCCTACCCGCCCTCCCACCTCCAAACCTCGTCTTTGCCAAGGCCTCTTTTCCCCTGAAACGATCATTGATCATGGGGCAGTTGCAAGCCTCAAGCAAAGGGTGCTCGTTCAAAATGTCCTGCAAGACGCAGAAATGGCTCAAACTACCCGGGTCATTAAAGTAGGAACCTCGAGCTCTGAGACCGGAAGTATTCGCTCCGCCAGCGTGTCTGGACTGCATCCACTTCCCAGAATTCCCCAAACTCGCTCGTCTGAGCCAAAGGGCCGGCGACAGCGCAGAGTATCTGGAGTGAGGTTCCCAGAATTCACCGGTCCGCTTGCCAGAGCCAAAATGTCCGGTGTTCCACCGGCCAGTGGACTACACTTCCCACAAAATGGACTACATTTCCCAGCATTCACCGGAAACGCCTACCTGAGCTAAACTACCAGGAATCCCGCAAGGTCAGGGCTCAGGGAACTCCACTTGGATAGCACTGCCAGGCATGATTAGTTCCAGATACCAGAGAAGAATGTGAAGGCGGCACGGAAAACTATGGGCCCATGACACACAGGGCCTAAAGCATGGACATCATTTGCTTGGATCTAAGGGCGGTACTGCTCTCCTCTCTGGCCATTGGCAATCTCACCACACTCATCATCCTATGTGTTGTAACACGTATTGCAGGGAGCATTCTTCATCACCTGTTTGAGCCCTAGTCTCAGTCCATTCCCAGATTGAAGACTGCAGAATCTGAGGGCATGGACATCCCAAAGAGACTGATGTTGGCAAAATAGACTGACAAAAAAAATGGGATTATGATATGATTTGGCTCTGTGTCGCCACCCAAATCTCATCTCAAATTGTAATCCTCACATGTTGGGTGCGGAGCCTAGTGCGAGGCAATTAAATCATGGGGGCGGACGTCCCCCTTGCTGTTCTCATGATAGTGAGTGAATTCTCATGAGATCTGGTTGTTGGGAAGTGGTGGTGCTTCGCCTTTGCACTCTCTCTTCTGTTCTAGTGCTTTCTTCTTCACCTTCCACCATGATTCTAAGTTTCCTGAGGCCTCCCAGTCATACTTCCTGGTAAGCCTTGGAACTGTGAGTCAATTAAACCTCTTTTCTTCGTAAATTACCCAGTCTCAGGTAGTACTTTATAGTAGTGTGAAAACAGACTAATAAAGCTTATAACCCAATTTCACTCCTAAGTATACATTCAGAGAAATGAAAGCTAAGAGGTGTGAGACAGAAGAGAGCTCATGTTGTATGATTTCATTTACATGAAATATTCAGAACGGGCAAATCTGTAGAAACAGAAAGTAGAATAGTGGTTGCCAGGAGCTGATGAAAGAAGGATGGGGACTGGGAGTGACTGCCAGTGGATAGGGGACTACTTTCTGGGCTGATTAAAAAGACTTGAAATTAGAGAATAGTGACAGTTGCAAGACTTTGGAAATATACTAAAAACCACTAAAGGTTACATTTTAAAGTGATGCATTTTATGATATTTGAATCACTACTCACATTTAAACAAGGTTGGGCCGGGCGCAGTAGCTCACGCCTGTAATCCCAGCACTTTGGGAGGCCGAGGCGGGTGGATCACGAGGTCAAGAGATCGAGACCATCCTGGTCAACATGGTGAAACCCCGTCTCTACCAAAAATACAAAAAATCAGCTGGGCATGGTGGCGCATGCCTGTAATCCCAGCTACTCAGGAGGTTGAGGCAGGAGAATTGCCTGAACCCAGGAGGCGGAGGTTGCGATGAGCCGAGATCGCGCCATTGCACTCCAGCCTGGGCAACAAGAGCGAAACTCCGTCTCAAAAAAAAAAACAAAAACAAACAAACAAAAAACAACAACAACAAAAAAAAACAAGGTTGAGCTGGTTGGCCTAATAGTGTTTTGAAGCCTATGTATGGAAACCTAAGCTTGGTAGCACCTTAGCTTCAAACTACATTTTAAAAACCGTTTTTTCTTTCCCCCTTCTCCCCAGGCTCAAGATGTAGCTTTGAGACAAACTGCAGATGTGTGTTCTTTTGTGTTGAAATACAGCCTCTGAATCTGCTTTAAAACTTCACTCCCTTCCCTTTCCCACCTTATGCTTCCATGCCCTATGCACATGTTTTTTTTTAACCTGGATGCTTATTAAGCTCACACTGTGTTCACTTATCTGCTCATATATTTCCTTAGAAGCTTCAGGGGAAGAATACTGATGCAGATCAAGTAGCCGTAACCTCCTGGCTACAGATAAACTGTAAGATTGACTGCCATTAATTTATAATCTGATAGAGCCTGTGATGGCATTGGCCCCTTCACCAGATGGAACAATTCTAGATAAGCCACCGGAGTGAGACACGCCATCGGGTACCTCTTAACCCCACTTACCTCTCTGCATTCCAAGCCCATTTCTTAAACTGTGGCCCTCTCTCCAGAAATTGAAAAGTGGCAATTTTTGGAAAAGATTCCAATTACTCTCTCCCTTGCTAGCAATGGATGATAAAATTCACTCTTTTTATCACACCTTCCTTTTGTTATTTTGGCTTTTTTCTTTTTCTTTTTTTTTTTGAGATGGAGTTTCGCTCTCATTACCCAGGCTGGAGTGCAATGGCGCGATCTCGGCTCACCGCAGCCTCCGCCTCCTGGGTTCAGGCAATTCTCCTGCCTCAGCCTCCTGAGCAGCTGGGACTACAGGCACGCGCCACCATGCCCAGCTGATTTTTTGTATTTTTAGTAGAGACGGGGTTTCACCATGTTGACCAGGATGGTCCCGATCTCTTAACCTCGTGATCCACCTGCCTCGGCCTCCCAAAGTGCTGGGATTACAGGCGTGAGCCACCGCGCCCGGCCCGAATTTTCACTTTTCATGCTGCTATCATTTCTAGTTTTTGTGATCTAGATTGTAATTGGAAAAAAATATTATATCAAAATTTAAAATTTATTAACATTTGATTCATGGCCTAATATATAGTCTATCCTAGAGAATATTCCATCTGCAAATGAGAAAATGTATATTCTGTTGCTGTGTGGGTTATTCTGTATATGTCTTTTAGGTCAATTTTGTGTATAATGTTCTTCAAATCCTCTATTTCCTTACTTTTTTTTTTTCTGACTTATCTTTTGTCTGGCTATTTGAAAGGGAGGTTTGAAGTGTCCTAGTACAGTTGTCCCTCAATATATATGGGGGATTGGTTCCAAGAACCCTGGTATATCAAATGCATACAAACTCAAGTCTTGCACTCAGCCTGGTAGAACCAACGTATATGAAAACTTGGCCCTCCATATATGTGGGTTTCACATCCCATGAATATTGTTATTTTCGATCTGAGATTGGTTGAAAAAAATTGACACATAAGTGCACCTATGCAGTTCAAATCCATGTGGCTCAGAGTCCACTGTATTACTGGGTTGCTACTTCTCTTTTCAAGTCTGTATTTGCTTCATATAATTAGCAGCACTGATGTTTGGTGCACATATAACTGTTATGTCTTCTTGGTGAAATAACACTTTTGGCAACATATAATGTTCTTCTTGCTCTCTTCTAACAATTTTTCACTTAAAATCTAACTTAGCCCTTAGTAAAGCCACCCTTGCCCTCTTTTTATTACTATTTATATGGAATAACTTTTTTCATTTTTTCAGTTTCAATCTATGCATGTCATTAGATTTAAGCAAATCCCTGTGCAGAACATACACTTGGATACTGTTTTTTCAATGATTTTGCCAATCAACATCTTTTGGTTGAGTAGTTTCATTCATTTACACTAAACCCATTATTTTTAGAAAAGGTTACTTAAAAAGCATTTTGTTATTTTTTAAATGTCTTATTGCCTTTTTGCCCCTAATTTCCTCCATGACTGCCTTCCTTTGAGTCCTTTTTCTGTAGTGATACATTTTGTTTTGTTTTTTGTTTTGTTTTTTTTTTTTTTGAGACGGAGTTTCGCTCTTGTTACCCAGTCTGGAGTGCAATGGCGCGATCTCGGCTCACCGCAACCTCCGCCTCCCGGGTTCAGGCAATTCTCCTGCCTCAGCCTCCTGAGTCGCTGGGATTACAGGCACACGCCACCATGCCCAGCTAATTTTTTGTATTTTTAGTAGAGACGGGGTTTCACCATGTTGGCCAGGATGGTCTCGATCTCTTGACCTCGTGATCCACCCGCCTCGGCCTCCCACAGTGCTGGGATTACAGGCTTGAGCCACCGCGCCCGGCCCAGTGATACATTTTGAATCTCTTCTCATTTCCCTTTGTGTGTCTCACTGATAATTTCTTTATTTGAAGAAACGTAACATTCTACATGCTACAGTCTAAAGTTATAACCATCTATTTAAAATTGATACTAACTTAACTTCAGTCATATGCAAAAACCCTACTCCTTCACAGCTTCTGCCTCCCTTCATGTTATGTGACTGGTATCGTGGATTACAGCTATACATATTGTGTACCCATTCACATAGATTTATAATTATTTTAATGCATTTTCCTGTTACATAGTGTAGAAAATAAAAAGTGGAGTAAAAATTAAAATTACAAAAATAGTGGGTTTTACATCGTTCATGTAATTTTACTTAAGATGTTTATGTTTTCATATGATTTCAAGTTGCTGTCTAGGATCCTTTCACTCCAACTTGATGGCATCCCTTTATAACTTCTCATATAAATTGTCTTCTGGTAATGGATTATCTTGGCTTTTGTTTCTTTACAAAAGTATTAATGTATCTCTCGTTTGAAGGACAGTTTTGCTGAATATTGAATTATCAGTAGACAACTATGCATTTTTTGTTTTTTCAGCAGTTAATACATCATCTGTCCTAAGGTGTTTGCTGAAAATCTGCTGACATCTTATTGAAGATTCTCTGTACATGACAAATCATTTGAACTTGCTGCTGTCAAAATTTTCGTTTGGCTTTTTCCTTCAATAATTTTTAATAAAAAATAAAAATTGGGTCTCCTTGATTGTATCTTATGAGAAATTCATTGAGCTTGGATTTACAGAATAATGTGTTCTTCATATTCGAGTTTTCTGCCTTTATTTCTGTAAAACTCTCTTGACTTTTTCTCTCTCCTCCTAGGATACCTATAATGTATCTATGGTGCCTTGCGTTTTGTGTATTTTTACTCATTTTATTATTATTATTTTTTGCTTCTGAGACATAATTTCCTATGACTTATTTTCATGTTCACTCATTCTGAAGGTACCGTAGCAGCAGTAGGAACAATGGGCCTTAGGGACACTTACCTGTGGCTTCAGAACCTGCTCCAAACCATTCTTGTATATACCACTTCCAAGTGGAATACCAATGTGCACATACAATTTAAAGATATGGAGTAGCCAACAATACCCAATTCATAATGGAAGTCTTGGGCTCACATGCTAACTTTGTAGTTCATGGTTAAGTGCTCTGTCATTACTAAGGCCACTAGCAACACCAAAAGCTGCTTCCCAGGAGAACAAGTGGGCCAGGTGTGGTGGCTCACACCTGTAATCCCAGCATTTTAAGAGGCTAAAGTGGGAGGACTACTTGATGTCAGGAGTTCAAGACCAGCCTGGCCAACAATGTGAGAACCCGTCTGTACCAAAAAAAAAAAAAAAAAAAAAAAAAAAAAAAAAAAAAAAAAAAAAAAGTAAATATATGTAGAGGATTTCAGGGCTTCACTACAAAATTCTATGTGTCTGTGTTTTGATTCATCAATTGTGGCCAGCCAATCACTCCAAACATCACTATCTGTTTCTGATATTTCAGTTATTTTTGGCTCTCCTGGGTCATAGGATCCAACTGGCAGAGAAGCTTACATGACAGCTGGGACATATTGCACGACCTTGTCTCAACTGAGGCAAAATTATTTCAGGTCACGCATAAAAAGCATAGTAGTACACCCCAATAAAGAATAAGTAGCCTCCAATAGCTGAGCAGGGCCACCAGGCATTGGGACCCTTTTTTCTGGCTGTAGGAAGCATCATATACTACTTGCCTTATACCTTAGATTAGAAGGAATATCTCTATTTTTTTGAAGCAATCTCACTCTGTCACGAGGCTGGAGTGCAGTGGTGCACTGTAACCAAATTTTCTGGCAGGAAAATTCTTCATGTGTTCTTGCTTCTGGAACAGTCGCTGTCTCAGTTTGAATCCTACCTCCTATAAGGACACAGAATTAAGACACGTGGACAAGTCAAGTCTTTGTTCAGCATTTTCAAGAGGTCACACTTAGGATGTGGCATTTAACTTTAATGAACGTCATTTTCTGTTTTCCAAGTGCACTCTGGTTTGCATGAGACCAATTTAGAACTATACCATGTCTCATATGTAAAATTCTGAATAGAAATAAAATACATATTTAAAAAGTTAATATATGTCAGGTGTGGTGGCTCACACCTGTAATCCCAGCACTTTGGGAGGCTGAGGTAAGGGGATCACTTGAGGTCGGAAATTTGAGACCAGCCTGACCAACATGGAGAAACCGCATTTCTACTAAAAATACAAAATTGGCCGGGCGTGATGGTGCATGCCTGTAATCCCAGCTGCTTGGGAGGCTGAGGCAGGAGAATCACTTGAACCTGGGAGGTGAAAGTTGCAGTGGGCTGAGATTGTGCCATTGCACTCCAGGCTGGGCAACAAGAGCAAAACTCCATCTCAAAAAATAAAAATAAAAAATTATATACATTTCACTTGTTGCTATTTCTAGTGAATTTTTTAGTCAGTCTTTGTGGTAAAATTTTGTGTGGTAAATTATAAAGCTAAAATATTACATATGTAGTAAAATATGAACCAAAATGAACTTTAAGGAGAAGTAATAACAGAATAAATAGTTTGTATATTTGTCTGTTATATATCGTTATAAAGAAGTTAACCTAACTTGAAAGAGGTCAGTATGTTGTCCTCAGCATCTGAGAGGTAATCTCTAGGATCTTGAAGTGTCATGCCTGAGGAGAGAGTCTCTGTGCTTGAGTAAAACCTGGGTAACTCTGGATAGTGAAACAATATTATTTAAGGTTGTACTGGCCACCCTTTTGGGGTATGGGAGGTGGTACTCCTCATGTCAGAAAGAACATCAGTGTGATTCATGGAGAGGCTTTACCTCACAGGGAATCAGTGAACCAGGGGACTAAATAACCATATGAGAATCAACCAGCCAATCATGGCTATGTAATGGAGCCCCAGTAATTACTCTGGATCCCAGCACTCAGGTAAATTTCCCTGATTGGGAGTTATCTGTGTCTAAGTCACATGCTAATCCTGGCAATGTAACATACCCCACTCCACTGGGAGAATACAATAGAAAATAAGCATTTGGTACTTCCCTGGACTCTGTTTTGTTTGGTTTCTCTCTTGGTTAAATATAATATGCATGTTTTCCCTGTAAGAATCAGTAACTGTGAGGATAAAAGCATTCAGTGAATTCTAGGAGTTTTTCCAGCAAATTACCTGACATGAAGATAGTTTTGAAAAACTGCCAAATTTGCACTTGGTGTGAAGTGAGAGCAGTCCTCTACAAAACGTCCCACTAAAGTTGGTTGAACTCTTCACAATGCCAAACATCAAACACCTCAGAGTGTTTAATATCTACACATTCAAAGTATTCCCGCACAATAATTTTATGCATGTATAAAAATACTTAATCTTATTTTTCTGTTTTGATATGGACAGTAACTTGGTTATCTGAAAGAGTACAGGAACAGACAGCTGCAGTTCTGAGGTGAATCTGAAAGGCTGTCCTTCCAGGGGTCCACTGACAATCAAAGTTGTTAAGAATCACATGGAATGAAAAGAAAGCCTATGATATAGATAAACAGGCCTTTATAACTTTTTATATTCAAGACTATGACTCAATGAGCTGAAATAAAGTTAAAACCTGCAATAAACATTTACAAAAAAAGAACTAGAATGAAAATTACTGCAGCATTATGAAAATCGGGAAAAACATCATTACATGAATTGCCTACGAAAGTCACTCACCCACATCTACAAACACGACAAATGTTTTTCCGGGTCAAATTGCAAGATGTGTTTCTTACTATGGCTCATGCTCACAAAATGTCTAAAACTTTGTCAGGATATTACCAAGACCTGAATTAGGTAAGTTTTTCCAATGGAAAGAAAACTTCCAAAGGTTGAATCTTGGAAAATATTAATTGGTAAGTATGTACCTTTCAGTACAGAGTAGTACATGGATATATTTAATATGCTGTCATGTATAAATAAGAGGTGTTTAAAGAGAAGGGAGAGTCTCCTTTGGGAGGTTTCCATTTTGAGAGCAGTCTCCCAATTTCTTTCACGTCATAAAGTTCACCAGATTAAAATGCAATACTACATCTCTATAAAAATAAAGAGAAATTTCTGTAAAATCTATATTCCTTCACATTTCTGACAATTAAATTTGTATAAAGACGCAGAAATAGACACCACATTTTTTGAAGAAAAACATGCAGAAATATAAGAAACATTTAGCTCACAGATATAAAGAATTTCTCACAGACATAAACATGGTCCTTAAGGAAAGCTCCAGGGTCAGCCCCAGGGAAGGCATGTTTCTCAGTGTGGTCATGAAAACAATGCCTGGAAGTTTCCACGGGATATGGGTCAACTGCACACACAGAAAGCCAATCATGTCAAGGGAACCTAAGAAAGTTGAAATTGGATAAGCAACCATGCACAGACCAAAAAAAAAAAAAAAAAAAGTGTCCTGGCCGGGCGCAGTGGCTCCCACCTGTAATCCCAGCACTTTGGGAGGCTGAGCTGGGTGGATCACCTGAGGTCAGGAGTTCAAGACCACCCTGCCATTGTGATGAAACTCTGTCTCTACTAAAAATATGAAAATTAGCCAGGCATGGTGGCATGTGCCTGTAATCCCAGATACTCGGGAGTCTGAGAGAGGAGAATCGCTTGAACCCAGAAGGCAGAGGTTGCAGTGAGCTGAGATCGCACCATTGCACTCCAGCCTGGGCAACAAGAGTAAAACACCATCTCAAAAAAAACCAAAAAAACACCAAAAAAAAAAAAAACCCAAACTGTCCTGCAAACTACAGTCAGCCTCTGTATCTGTGGGTTGAGCATACATGGATTCAACCAAAATCAAAAGTATTTGGCAAAAAAGTATTTGGCAAAAATACTTGGTTAAAAAAATTCCACAGAGTTCCGCAAAGCAAAACTTGAATATCTCACACTTTGAGTCGTATACATTGAATCCATGTGAAAAAAGTGAAGGGGAGGCAATGCATTTAGTATTATAACTAATCTAGACATGACATAATGTATATGAGAGGACGTGCATAGGGTATATACAAATACTTTACATGTGTAAGAGACTTGAGCATCCGTGGCTTTTGGTATCCACAAGTTGGTACTGGAATCAAATCCCATGGCTACCAAGGCATGAATATATAACATTCATTCTGGTATGTCTGTCACTTATTAGCTATCTCCATGATTCTTACAGACAGTCAAGTCCTCTCATCCATTAATTCATTCATAAGAATACTAAATATTTACAGATACCTGCCATGTACCAAGAGTATTCTAGGTGCTGAAGATGCAGTCATAAACAAACAGATAAATGTCTTCTGGAGATTACATTGCAAAGGGGAGAAGCAATATATTACTAGACAAAACTACATGAGATGCAACACATGCAGGCCAAGAATAGTAAAGATAGGACAGTATTTTCAATAAAGTGCCTGGAGATGACCTCTCCTATGATAATAAAACTGAGCAAAGCACTGCATAAACTAAAGGAGGGGTCTAAGTTCTGTGGGGACACTGTATTCCAATCAGAGAGAAGAGCAAGCGAGGGCCTGGAGGCATAAGCTCTTGTAGTAGATAATCATTCCTGAATGATGTCTACATCCAATTCTCAAAACCTGTGAACATGTTACATTACACAGAGGGGGAGATTACACTACAGATGCCACTGAGGTCACTAGTCACTAGTCAGCTAAGCAGAAAGTGGAAGGGTCATCCTGAATCATCCAGGAGTGATGAATACTATCATAAGGGACCTGAAGGGTCAAAGTGGAAGGCACGAGAAGAGTGGCAGAGGGAGCATGACTATAGAAGGATGGTCAGGGATGCAACGTTGCCGCCTTTGAAGATGGAGGAAGGGAAACAAGAGCCAACGAGTGTAGCCAGTGCCTAGAGACTGATAAATCAAAATGAAGGCTTCTCCCCATGAACATCCAGAAAGGAACAAAGCCCTAAGACAGCTTGATTTTTGCCCAGTTAGATGTGTCAGACTTCAGGCCTACAGAAGAGAAAGCTAAGTGTTTCTTGTTCAGTCTGCTAAGTTTTATTTCACAGGTCACAACAGGCAATACAGTGTCCTTGGCAGGATGGAGAAACAGCAGGGAGGACAATGTGCCTGGAAAAGATGGAGCAAGGGGGAGAGGACAGGAGAGGCAGTCAGGCAGTGTGGGATGAAGAGCAGATCAGAGGGTTTACAAAAGCCACTTAAAGAGGTTGTAATGGCTGGGCCTGGTAGCTCACATGGTGGCTCACCCAGTATTTCGGGAGGCCAAGGTAGGCGGATCACGAGGTCAAGAGATGGAGACCAGCCTGGACAACATGGCGAAACCCTGTCTCTACTAAAAAACACAAAAATGGCCGGGTGTGGTGGCTCAAGCCTGTAATCCCAGCACTTTGGGAGGCCGAGGCGGGTGGATCACGAGGTCAAGAGATCGAGACCATCCTGGTCAACATGGTGAAACCCCGTCTCTACTAAAACTACAAAAAATCAGCTGGGCATGGTGGCGCGTGCCTGTAATCCCAGCTACTCAGGAGGCTGAAGCAGGAGAATTGCCTGAACCCAGGAGGCGGAGGTTGCGGTGAGCCGAGATCGCGCCATTGCACTCCAGCCTGGGTAACAAGAGCGAAACTCCGTCTCAAAAAAAAAAAAAAGATCTTGAGAGACATAGATCAACTTACAGATTTCCTACTTATTCTGTTTGTGTCCTGATAATGACTGATTTTCCTGAGCTCCACCAGAAATTCAATGATGAAAATAAGGCAAGGCAGGAGAATTGCTTGAACCCAGGAGGTGGAGGTTGCAGTGAACCGAGATTGTGCCACTGCACTCCAGCCTGGGTGACAAGAGTGAAACTCCATCTAAAAAAGAAAGAAAGAAGAAAGAGGGAAGGAAAGAAAGAAAGAGAGAAAAAAAGGGAGGGAGGGAAGGAAAGGGAGAGGGGAGGGGAGGGGGAAGGGGAAAAGGAGAGGGAAAGGGGGAAGAGGGAGGAGAGGGGAGGGCAGGGAAGGGAAGGGGAGGGGAGTGGAGGGGAGGGAAGGGGAGTGAAGTGAAAGGAAGGAAAAGGAAGGGAAAGGAAGGGAAAGGGAAGGAAGGAAAGGAGGGAAGGAAAGGAGGGAAGGAAAGGGAAGGAAGGAAGGAACAAAGGAAGGGAGGGAAAGAAAAAAAGAAAGAAGGAAAGGAAAGGAAGGAGGGAAGGGAAGGCAAGGGGAGGGGAGGGGAGGGAAGGGAGAAAGCAGGAAGGAAAGAAGGAAGAAAGGAAGAAAGAAAATAGGAGGGAAGGCAGGAAGGAAGAAGGCAAGTAGGAAGGAAGGAAGGAAGGAAGGAAGGAAAGAAAAGAAAAGAAAATGAAGTCCTGTATTTTTTCTTTGTGCACTAATTGAGTCCACTTGTAAGTAACCCTCTAAAACTCTTAAATGCTGTGTCCTAGGCTACGCATATACAGGTTTCAATGAATCTCGCCTATGACCCCAGCAACATTTAGTAATTCAGTCCCAAGCTAGTTTGATAACACTCATTGTTCTCTCTCATAGTCTAACCCTGGATGCTACCACTTTTCTTTAATAATTGCCCAACAAACAAGTTTTGGGTAACGGGGCAATTTTCAGTATGACCTTAGATTGACTCTCCCCACTTTCTTGCTAATAGGTCTCAATAATAACCATAGAATTTGCTATAAATGCAAGGTACATGTCCTTCCTAGGGAAGATAACATCTCAAATTAAGGAGGAACTTCCCAGTAAATTATATTGCCTTTTAGGCATGTAATCCAGGACAGATTGCCTTTTGGGGTGTCTTCACTGCAGTGCAAATGGGGCGCATGCAATTCAGACTCTACCCATCCCAGGCGGCTTTCCTGAGCCTTGGGGGACTGGCTCACAGGGAACTGTAGGCTTTTGTTTTCCCTTGCTGCCTACCTGTAAGTAATAAATCTGCTTCATGTAATTAATCATGTATGGAGTGTACCCTTCCACTGAACTTACATAAGTTGGTAACCAGTGAACGTGCTCCACAGAACTGGCACAGCAGGGTCTGGTCTGACAGAACCATGCATTAGCAAAGGGGAAGCAGTAATGCCCCTAGCTTGTGGCCCAGGGCAGCAATGTCAGCTTGGGGTCACAGGAGCTGAAAAATAGCTGGATGGTTTACCGGAAAAACAGTGGTAAGTGGGGCACAGGTCGCCCCTCTGGACTGCTGGCAACAGCCCATGAGTTAATGAAAATGTAGCAAGATACGGTAGTAGCAGTTGTTCTCACAGGTGTGAGCTGGCTGCATGGATTCAGAAAGAGAGGACGGCAAATGAAAGCAGGGGAGCATGGCATGTAATATACTGATCGTGGGCCTTTTACGTAACTGCACATTTTTGGGGCCAAAGGGCTCTGGAAATGGGTGAAGTGGGTTCTCTGAGGCAGCTAAGAAGAAGGAAGCCAATTACCATGATGTGGGCCTCCATACAGACAGACTCATGACCTGAAGGACAGGTACGGGCAATACTATGAGGACATGCTATCCTGGCTATCCTGAATTGCTGGTGAGGGAGGACAGATTTTTCTATCCCAAAAAGAACAGCACAATTAGGGATGGAGCCAGGTCTCTAGGTCCTTGCCATTCCTATCAAGAGGGAAATGCTAGTGCAATGAAGGTACAAGGTTCACATCTTGCATGTGTACTGACTAGAGTCTGTGAAAACAAAACATTGATACTGAGGTGCACCAGCCTCTGAAATTTTGGATATATTGCCTAAGGCAGCCACAAGGAATGCTTGTATAAATGACAATTCTTTGCTATTGGGCACTGATGGCGACAGTGCATCTTATCACTGGAGTACACATGTGACATAAACTGCCTATTCTCACCTGGGCCCTTTTGTACATGTCCTTCCTAGGGAAGATAATATTTTGTAAGCAACCCTCTAAAACTCTTAAATGGCCGGGTACGGTGGCTCATGCCTGTAATCCCAGCACTTTGGGAGGCCGAGGCGGGTGGATCACGAGGTCAAGAGATCGAGACCGTCCTGGTCAACATGGTGAAACCCTTTTGTAGTTTAGTCTCTACTAAAACTACAAAAAATTAGACGGGCATGGTGGCGCGTGCCGGTAGTCCCAGCTACTCAGGAGGCTGAAGCAGAAGAATTGCCTGAACCCAGGAGGCGGAGGTTGCGGTGAGCCGAGATCGCGCCATTGCACTCCAGCCTGGGTAACAAGAGCGAAACTCTGTCTCAAAAAAAAAAAAAAAAAAAAAAAAAAAAAAAACTCTTAAATGCCCAACCCTACCAATAAAGTTGGGCAGGCTCCATTTGAGAAGAGACAAAGCTCTATTATCATATAGAAATGGTACATTTGGCCAGGTGTGGTGGCTCACACTTGTAATCCCAGCACTTTGGGAGGCCGAGGCAGGTGGATCACCTGAGGTCAGAAGTTCAAGACCAGCCTGGCCAACCTGGTAAAACCCTCATCTCTACTACCAATACAAAAATTAGCTGGGCGTGGTGGCGGGTGCCTATAATCCCAGCTACTGGGGAGGCTATGGTGCAAATGGGGCATGTGCAGTCCTGACTCCACCCACTCTAGGCAGCCTTCTTGAGCCTTGGGGGACTGGCTTACAGTGGATAGGCTTCTGTTGTCCCTTGTAACCTATACATAACAAATCTGCTTTATGTAATTTGTCATCTATGAGTGTGTTCTGTCATGGTAGACTCACCAAGTCTATAACTAGTGAACCTGTTTCATGGAATTGGTGCAGCCAGCAGGGTCCAATTTGACAGAACTCTGGACTGGCAAAGGGGGAGTACTTATATCCTGGGCAATTGGCCCAGTGCAGGGATGGCAGCCTGGGGGCACAGGCTGGACAGCAGCTGGATATTTATAAGCAAGACAAAGTGATAAATGGGACACAGGCCACCCCTCCACAGATGTGAGCTGGCCACATGGATTAAGACAGAAAGGGCCGGGCGCGGTGGCTCAAGCCTGTAATCCCAGCACATTGGGAGGCTGAGGCGGGTGGATCACGAGGTCAAGAGATCGAGACCAGCCTGGTCTACATGGTGAAACCCCGTCTCTACTAAAAATACAAAAAATTAGCTGGGCATGGTGGCGCGTGCCTGTAATCCCAGCTACTCAGGAGGCTGAGGCAGGAGAATTGCCTGAACCTAGGAGGCGGAGGTTGCCGCTCACCGCAACCTCCGTACCCACCCCTGGGGGAAAATACAGAAAAACCCCCTCCCAAAAAAAAAAAAAAAAAAAAAAAGACAGAAAGGACAGAATATGAAAACACAGGAGCTTGGCATGTGATCCGCTGATTGAGACACCTTAAATAATAGCTCATTCCTGGGGCCAGAGGACTCAGGAAGTGGGTCAGAAGATGCCTGGGGCATCTAAGAGGGATGGAACTAACACGTGTGATGTGAGCCTCCACAGAATGGGGGACTCACTATCTGATGGACAGGTATGAAGAAAACGAGAAGGACATGTTATCTTGGTATATAGAGCACCCTTCACATAAGGAACTCCATCATCAATAAAAATACAGTTATGAAGATACATGAGGAACAGCACAAGAAGAAAAAACAGGCTAATTTGAGAGCAAGGAAGTAGGTGGGAACACTGTTTATTTCAACTAATTTTTCTAATCCATAATATAACAGTAAAAAACAAAACAAAACAAAGCCCAAACCAAAAACCAAATGCAAAGTCAACAAAAAAGAGACAAAGGAAGCAACTGGCACATAGCAGGTCCCCAAATGCCCGATTCCTCCTTGAGTCTTCCCAAAACAGAGAAAAATATATCACAATATGAGCAATAAAAAGGAATTTTAAGGCCGGGCGCGGTGGCTCACGCCTGTAATCCCAGCACTTTGGAAGGCCCAGGCGGGTGGATCACGAGGTCAAGAGATCGAGACCATCCTGGTCAACATAGTGAAACCCCGTCTCTACTAAAAATACAAAAAATCAGCTGGGCATGGTGGCGCGTGCCTGTAATCCCAGCTACTCAGGAGGCTGAGGCAGGAGAATTGCCTGAACCCAGGAGGCGGAGGTTGGGGTGAGCCGAGATCGCGCCACTGCACTCCAGCCTGGGCAACAAGAGTGAAACTCCGTCTAAAAAAAAAAAAAAAAGGAATTTTAATAGCAAGAAAGGCAAGCTCTACTCACCTTGAATGTGGTCATTTTTCCTTCTACTTTTTGGAATCTTCGGAGTCCTGAGTGATGGAGCACGAAGGTAGGTGGAATCATGCCTGGAAAATGCCAGACAGCAAAAAGGGAAACATGAAATGGTGGCTGGCAATGCTGTGTAGCAACTCGGACACGTGAATTAGCCATATGAATGATCACAGCAGCATTATTCATACTAACCCAAAAACTGCACGCAACCAAAATGCCTTCCTCTGGGTAAATGGATAGAAAAATCATGGCATATCCATATAATGGAATCTAATTTGGAAATTAAAGGAAATGAAGTAGCAATTCATTAAATGACATGCATGAACCTTGGAAACATGCTAAGAGAAGGAAGCCAGTCACAAAAATCCATGGATTGTATGATTCCATTTATGTGAAATGTCCATATAGGCAAATGTATACATAAGAGAAAAAGTAGGTTAGTGGTTGCTCTGGATTTGGGGTTGGACTCATTTATAATTAAATGGGCATGAAGAGTCCAACTGGGGGTGAAAAATAACTAAACTGAATTATGATGATGGTTACTCCACTTTACAAAGTTCTTAAAGAGCACCGTACTCCTGAGATGAGTGAATGCTATCATAAGTTAAATATAACTCAATAGAGTTGAAAAAAATAATTGTTAATCCACATGTCATTTACTTTAATAAGAATGAATTCTGAGCCCATATTGTTGGAATACTTAGAGTTGAACAAGCAAATGAATAAATGAAGAGAACTAGAAGCTCATCTTTAGTAGAATGTTCACCAATAAAGTATCTTCCAATAAAAAACTTTGTTTAAAAAAACCAAAAGGTAACTTTATAGTGGACAAATCTGAAAGACATCATCTTGGCCAAGTGAACATAGTGGAAATCGCCAGCGAACAGACAAACCAACATCATGTGAACCTTGTTATGCTGCAATAAAGAGGAAACCTCATCACTTGTCTGATATTCTCACCAACAATACATAATCTGAAACTAAACATGAAATGTATCAATGAAATCTTTCTCCAAAATAACTTGACTATTTAAAAAATAAACACTGGCTGGTCGTGGTAGCTCACGCCTGTAATCCCAGCACTTTGGGAGACCAAAGCACTTTGAATCACTTGAGACCACGGGTTCAAGACAGTCTGGCTAACATGGGGAAACCCTATCTTTTCTAAAAATATAAAAATTAGTTGGGTGTGGTGGCACGTACCTGTAGTCCCAGCTATTTGGGAGGCTAAGGCTGGAGAATTGCTTGAACCCATGAGGAGGTTTCAGTGAGCCAAAATCACGCCACTGCACTCCAGACTGGTGACAGAGCAAGACTCCAAAGCAAAAAAACAAAAACAAAAAACAAACAAACAAAAAAAACCCCACCATGTTTATAAAAGATAGTCTCTGGAATCTCTCCAGACTAAAGAAACTATGGAATGTGACAACTAAACACAAGGCATAAACTGGACTTTGAATGGTGTTGCAAGTGAAGGGTGGGACAGGGGACAGTCATAAGGACTTTATTTTTTGAGACGGAGTCTCGCTGTGTCACCCAGACTGGAGTGCAGTGGTGTGATCTTGGCTCACTGTAACATCCACCTCTCAGGTTCAAGATATTCTCTTGCCTCAGCCTACCAAGTAGTTGGGATTACAGGCATGTGCTAACACACCTGGCTGATTTTTACATTTTTAGTAGAGACATGGTTTCACCATGTTGGCCAGGCTGGTTTTGAACTCCTGACCTCAGGTGATCCACCCGCCTTGGCCTCCCAAAATGCTGGGATTACAGGCATGAGCCACTGTGCCTGGCATAGGAATTTAAATGAAAAAATAAACAAATTAAAAATGTAAATGTAGATTAGATAACAGGATGTTAAGTAATATGCTATCCGATACTATCTAATGAGTAACACAACAACGACTAGCAGTCTTTTAACAGATCTGATATGCAATAGATAACAATATTTTTAATATCTGTTATTATCTAGCATGTTATTTGAAACCCTATACCACCCCTTCCTAAATGCCTCTTACCAAAACACCCCACATTTACCATGTATGTGGACTTCCTTGCTGCAGAAAGCTATAACCAGCTGTCTTCGGTTAGTTATGTTCCTGGTGGTATTTGGCTGATGGTCATCAACAAAGAAACCAGGAAAAATGTAAACAACTGGCAAATTTGGATAGAGTATATTTGAATTCCTTATACTATTTTTGCAACTTTTCTATAGCTTTTAAATCATTTAAAAATGAAAATATTTTAAATATCAGGAAATAGTCATAAGGATAATAACGGGAATAATACAACTGAGCATTATATAATACAGCAGTTCACTAGTTTCTTTTTTTTTTTTTTAAATCTCAGTCTGTTGCTCAGGCTGGAGTGCAGTGGCGTGATCTCAGCTCACTGCAACCTCCACCTCCCAGGTTTAAGCAATTCTCCTTCCTCAGCCTCCAGAGTAGCTGGGGCTACAGGCATGTGCCACCATGCCTGGCTAATTTTTACATTTTTAGTAGAGACGGCGTTTCACCATGTTGGCCAGGCTGGTCTCAAACTCCTGATCTCAACTGATCCACCTGTCTTGGCCTCCCAAAGTGCTGGGATTATAGGCATAAGCCACCGCACCCGACCTCACTAGTTTATTTTCTGTTAGCAGTATTTAAAATTTTCTACGGTTAAAGACATATGGGAAAACACATTAAAATATAACAATTTTATTTAAATGTTTATAAACAAATATACAAATAGACACAAATACAGACTAAAAAAACAATCAGAAGCTTAGCACTGGTTCTAGTCCAATCCATAAAAGATAATATCTTGAGTTAGGGAGGAACTGCCCAGTAAGTCATGTTGCCCTTGAGGCATATAACCTGGAACAGGATATATCTTTACATCTTGGATTCATGGGTAATTAAAACACTTTTTCTGCTCCTATTTCTCTCGTTTCAGACTGCTCCACAATGACATAATTCCACAACAATATAAAATACTTGTAAAAAGTGAAACAAAATAGTTGAGAAAATTTTTTTAATTCCTAGAAGTCCAAGCCCATGAGCCTTACTCTCAAGGTCCCTTCAGTCATGTCGTAACTTGTTTTCCCCACCTGAGTCTAGCTAGTTCCTTTGCCTCAAGGAGAATGTAGAAAAGAGATGATCAGCTCAGGCTCTGACCTGGACTGCCTAGCTTCCAACCCCAGCTCCACTTCTCACTAGTTGGATGCTACGCACCCTGTGTCTCACTCTCATCTTTAAAACAGAGAAAAGCAATACTTCACAGAGCCACGGTGTGGCCTAAATTTATTTGTATAAAGCACTTAGAATGAAGTTACTGATTAAGGCTTAATGATTATCAACACCCATGCCCGAGGACACACCTACACACTCTCGGTTGAGGTAAAATATAAAAGAAAAAAGCCAAGGACCACTCACAAAGAGATTTGCCCTCAGTAGCCAAGAAGTCCCTTCCCTGTGACTCTATTGGAAAAGTCAGGCTGGGGAAGGCAAAAGCTGTGAAACACACTGACGGCATCTCGAGTCCCTCACAAATGTTTAATGCTCCCCTTCCTTCCTGGAAGGCGGACTCAACTCTCGCTTTCCTAAAATGAGGTCACAAGGCGTCCCGGGATCATCCAGCGTCCTGCAAGAATGAGAAGGAACAGGGCCCCTGCAGCTGGAGCTATGACCCCACCCGGGGACCTGACCCCTTCGGAGAAGTTAACAAAAGACCACTAGTCACCAAGTGGCAGGGATTGCTTTAAGGTTCTCATTTGCGTTACCTCTTTCAGTTCCCCAAAACGATTCTACTAGGATGGTTCTAATGTCCCCATTACAAAAAACAGCAATGGAAGGAATAAGGACATTGTGTAACACTCGT